ATGGCCCTCCTTTTTTTTCGTTGTTTCGTGCTATTGCCCTGACCTCTTCGTCCGTTTTGTGGATCTCATCATTACGTTCTGTTGACAAGACCAGTATCAGTTCGTGTACAGTACAGCGTATATGCTTTCGTTTATGGATACAGAGTAACCGCTATGTACCGGAACCGGTATCCGCATGTCTTGTACAGTATTTACTCATCCAATTATTGATTATCGGATAAAGATTGATTAAAATTGGTCAGTACGCTCACTTTTCTGGCTTTCAGTCACTTGGCATGGCTATTCTCTGTCTCTCACATACAATCACACTCTGCCTATCTTGCCCGAGTTTATCTGTGGTCACGTGATGAGTCCCCGGTCTGGTTAGGAAACCCATTTAACTACCATCCATCCACCAACCTACGATACTTTGCTCTTTCTCTATACTCCATGTTGATCCTGTTTATCGATTTTTCTCGTTCCACTCACTTCTCTTGCTTGCCTTTTCACAATGCCCAATTTTGTACATAAGCATCGTTTTTTGTTATTATTGATACCAGATTCGCCTACACTCAAATCAGTTAAATTCGCTATACAATCAGCCAACAACAACATCGATGTTTTGATTTCTGACGTGGGAATACGGGGACTGACTTGATGCGGCGCGTGTTTTGTGGTAGCCGGTGAATCCCACCTGGAATGTAAAGACAACGGAATACTCTCAATGGTTCTCACGCGGGACCTTACGTCTATCGACATTAGCCGCATATGTTTTCGATTCGTATCGAATATGAATAAGTTGCTGTCATTTGGTGGCGCTGAACTGGCCCATCAGACCAGTTGTCAGTTTTCGCTTTCATTATTGGGTTCCCTGTTGTGATGAGAGAATTCCGTGCACTCAGGAAAGTATACTTGTTCAGCACAATTTACCATACATAAGAGGAATTTCCCGTTTTTACTTGGAGTAGTCTCAAACGGTGGCATGCAGATCACCCTGCAACCAGCAGTTGGTGAAGTAAACACCAGTGCAACGGCGGACACTACTGATGGGGCATGTGAGTAGTATGTGGTCTCCTCGTAACTGCACCTCGTGTCTAATGGAAAGTGGAGTTTATCATGGAACTTGTGGAACTGCTTTGCGGCGTTCATTTACAATTGCGTGATACTCAACGAATATTCATAAAAGTTCAAGAAGATACGTGAGGATGTTCAGTTTTTAAAGCAAGGTGCATGTGAGGTATCCAATAGTTTGTAAGTGGTGTTTGCTAATAAACGATTCTTGCGATGAAGGGCTTACCTCCTGACGCTAGTAGATTAAACATAATTTCAGAGTTTCTAGAGGTTCTCTCCTCACCTCTCTTTGACGTTCATTCCACTGTCCCGGCCAAGTTATTTTTGAGTTTATTAGTGCATATTGGCAATAGCCATAATACAAATCAGAAGGTGAATGTGCACTAAGAGAAGTTTTTAGCATGGTTGCGATACGTATAAAAATAAATACAATGTGAAATGGGAGCGAGGCAAAAGGGAACTTATCGAATGTGAGAGTCCCTTGGTAAAAGTCCGGACGGTGGGAACGTGCTTTCTTCGCAGTATGGCTGCTACGCGTGTTCCATGATTGTCCGTGGACTTGGAGCGCTTGCTCCCTGCGCGCGCGCGAGTCTGTGCGCCCTGACTGGGTTCGGTTTCTTTTTATGTAGGTCCCAGTTCGTATACGTGGGCGCGTTGGCACATGAGTGGTTGCTACGCTGACTAGGCAGTGCAGACAATCGATGTCCGATGAGTCAGCTTAATGCGACGTGTTTGTGCGTATGAGAAAAAAGACAAGCCTCGCGATCCAGTGAGCGACTGTGAGTTGAACAGTCAAGTATGTGGGTGACTGGGTCGCTATGAGTTCACACCATATAAGTGGAACGACGGACTCGCCTTGGATACCAGATGTGCTGGGTTCAAGTTCCATGGCCAAGATACGGGACTCCTGATGGACTCTGAGAGGTGAAAAAACTCGAGTTCAGTACTTTCCTTCTTCGGTTTGGACCTACAACAGGGATTCTATCAGGACAGAAGGAAGGCCGTTCAGACGAGAGCGATGTGACCTAGTTACAATCTGTGACGTCAGTGAGTTTTATGGATTGAACATCTTGGAGTGTGGGGTGATGCGAAAAAAGGCGATCATTTCTTCCTGTGACCGAGGTCAGTCTTTTGCCGAGAAGTTAAAATAGTGTTGGCCCAGGTCAGCGAATAAACAATAATCCAATAGTGTTGGTCCAGAGGTCTTCTTCTGAACAGTTTCCACATATAATATAATACGAACATAGTCTGAAACGTTTTGGTTACCAGAGTTAGTACATGAGACTCGCGAATGACGGCTGCAAGCGCGAGCGAAATCAGAAGAGAGAGT